AAGATAAATATTATATTAAACCATTATTGTAGAATGGGTAAGGATCCAAAAGAAGTTGGAGAGGTTGGAAACAGAGGGATGAGGATGTGCAGGGGGAGGGGCAAGTAATCATGAAGTGGTACAATTTGATGGGTGGGGGTAAGATAAATTGTAAGAATCTGTTCTTGAAAACAATGTATTTTAATTTTGTAAATAAACTAGTATAAAATTTTTTTAAAAAAATAGTCATGCTCCAAACCAGAAAAAAACTCAAAACAAAACCTTTTTTTTTAAACAAAACTATCACTGTAGAATGAGTGTGAGGATCTAAAGCTGGGGAGGGGAGAGTGGCAATAGAAGGGTGAGGATAGGTGGGGGAATAGGGTGTTCATCATAGAGTTGTGCAAATTGATGGGTGATGAAGTGAAGGAAATGGGAAGGATCTTTTGTGAAAAACAAAGTATTCAAACTTTGTCAATAAATCAGAATAAAATTTTTAAAAGAAAAAAGTTCTATCAGAGTTTCTGACTTTAGGAAATCCATTGATTCTGTGTGTTGTGATCACTCTTTTTTGGGTGACATCTTGTTTTGGTTTTGTGTAGGGTATGAGGTAGTCTGCTTCTTCCTTGCCATTGCTGTGGTAGAGATTTTTGTGCCTGAGACCTTTGCAGTCTCTTGGTCTGATAACTTAGGCTCAGGAACTCAACAGCACCAGAGAAGGGAAAGGAAGCTTCCCTATGTGAATTTCTCTCTGATCCTTTGATTCAAGGGAAGACTTGCTTTGGGAGAGAAAGATGATCTGTGAATTATCAGCCTTCTTGGCCAGGCAATTGACTCAACTAGGTTGGCTCCAGAGGGTCTATAGCTCAAGCACTGTTTTTTGGAGGGGCATGGAAATGGCTTCACCTGTGATACTGGTGCTTTTGGCACAAGACAGCAGGGCAACAGCTAGGTAGGCTGTAGGCAGTGGGTGAGTGGAGTTGCCAGGTGGCAGGGCAGCAGCATTTCCAGGCAAGGGGCAGCAGTCTAGTCCTCTATGCAGAAGAGCAGGCAGGGCCATATTAGAGCTGTAGCCTCTTGACCTGGCAAGCAGTATTTCTGCCCCCTTTGGGGTTTGAGTGTGCCTGGGCTGGACCACAGCCTTTAGCAGATTCAGGGAAAGTGGTGGTGGGAAGATGCTCCTGGTCTTGGTCACACCACACAGGTCTTGGAGTCTTGCAGGGGAGCGATGGTAAGGTCCACAACCAGCAACCCGAAATGACCTGAGACAAGTGCCTTCCATCATCTTCTCATGCTTGCATGTTTTGGGTCAGTGTCCTTAGCTGTCCTCTCCCACACAGGTTGTGAAACTGGTGGGAAAGGTCAACTCACAATCTACCCTCAAATCTGTAGCTATGAAACCAGGGCCAGGAAGTCTTGTCTCTAAGGACAATGACAATCAGTGTAAAGGCCAAGCAGTCACACAAACATTTTGTAAGGATTTGCAACAACAAATACGGACAATGAAAAGCCAAATAATGAAACCTGAAGGATGGATGGGCCAAGAGACCTGGAAGAGAGGTACATTCTGAGAAGAATGAAAATGCAGAGAATCTGCAATGGGAAGTGCTAATCTTGTAGTCACACTTCCTGAAGAATTCAGAGTGATTTAGTAGGTTCACCTATAGTGCCAGGCTTTTATGTTGACATACCCAGTTTGTTTTGGAAATTGCCATGTTCTAGAATGTCTTTACTGATTGGTTGTGACGGCAGAATAATTTGTTGTTTCCAGTCACAATTTCCAAGGAAGGCTACATTAATAATAAAACAAAAGCGGACTTTCTATGAGCAAGCTGGTAACAGGGGTGGAGACAGAAGAGAAAGTCTGCCTATGGTAAGGAGAACAGTTGTTAGATGGGATGTTGCAGCAGAGGAAGCATCCACACTGGAATAGTGGACTTATTTTCTTTCTTATTGGTTTGCTTACAACGTTTGTATATATTGTGTTTCACACTATTCTTCACTCACACTGTGTTTCATACAATCATTCTCATGCATTATGTTTTATAAATTTAATCACCATTGAACTTTGCTCATCATTACCCTGTCTTTTTGACTGGATCCGTCCCATTTCCTTTCTCCCTCTCTCCACCCACTAAACTGTGCAACTCTATGGTTTCAACCCTATCCATCCTCAAGCCTCCCCACCTTGAGATTCCTTACATGTTTCACTAGTTAATCTTCTATTTTTACATTAATGGTCTTATGCAGTATTTGTTCTTATGAGATTGCATTTGTTCACTCAACATAATGTTCTCCAGTCTCTCCCAAGTTACATAGTATTTTTTAAAATCGTTGCTCCTGAGTGTTGCATAGTATTCCATTGCGTGAATGAATGTACCACAGTTTCTCAATCCATTCAGTTATGGTTGGACATTTGAGCTGTTTCCATGTTCTTACAATGTTGAATAATGCTACAATGGACATTGTTGTACAAATTTACATTTATGCCTAAGTTCTAATTTCCCTGGGATATATTCCATGGAGAAAGACATGATGCTGGGAAGGCCAGAGGGTTGATGAAGGAGATGAAGATCCTCAATCAGGTGGATTAACATGGTGACTGCTACAATGGGCTCTTGTGTATCAAGATGTGTGAGGATGGCACAGGTGAGATCTTTTGTTCGTAGGGTCATAGGGTTGTTATGAGTTGTACTCAACTTGACAGCACCTAACAGCAACAACATATTTTTAGTAGTGGTATAACTGAGCCATACGGAGTTTCAATGTTCAACTTTTTGAGGAAACACATAACTGTCTTCCAGAGTGGTTGTACCATTTTTCAGTTTCAACAACAGTGTATGACAGTTTCCACCTCTCCACATCCTTTCCAACATTTATTACTTGCTGCCCTACTAATAAGCTTTGCCACTTCCACTGGGGTGAGATGGTATTTCATTGTGATTTTGATTTGCATCTCTCTTATTGCCATTGATTTTGAGCATTTCTTTATGTGTCTATTGACCAGAAAGGTGGACTTTTAAAGTCAGGTGATCCACTATTCTATGAGAAGGTGTTTGTAAATTTGTGACAAATTTCCAACCATCCCCTAGACCTGATTGAAGTCAGGTCTACAGCAGGTTTGCATGAATAAGATATTTGGGGAAATCCAGAGGGAATGAGTCCATTTAAATTGATGAAACATGGAAATGTGCCAGCAAGAGGGAGCCAAGTTTATGGAATAAGCTAAGCTGAGCTCCAAATCATCCCTCCTCAGCACAGACCACCTTGCCCTCACTTTGCAGAAAATGTACAGAATTCTGTTTTCCCAGAGGGTCATCATCAGGTCTTAAAGGATAGAGGTAACCCAGCTGATATCTGGGTCACATTTATACAATGCCCATTTCCTCCCTGACTTTGCTAGCTACAACTTTGCTTATCCTTCAGTTTTTCAGAAACATTACCACAAGTTTTGATGAGGCTTACTTTCCCTGAGTGATGCAAACCATTAAATGTGTAACTACTAGTTGAAACATTGGCAGTTCAAATCCATCTAGAAGCACCTCGGAGGACACACCTGAAAATCTGCTTCTGAAAGGTCACAGTATTGAAAGATATGGAGCTGCATTGCTCTGCACACATGGGGTCACCAGGACTCAACAGTAGCTAACAGTTTGTAAGGCTTTGGTGATTAATAGCAGGACTCAAGATGTGTAGCTTGGGTTTGGATTGTGCCTCTTTGACTTAGTAACTATGTGACTCTAGACAAGACATTGTACCTTTTCTCAATTATCCATTGCTAAAATGGAGAGAATAGGATAGGATAGGATAGGATAGGATAGAATAACAATAACAACAACAACATAGAGAGAGCTACTGGCCTAGAGAACCGAAAGTGATGCTACCAAGCCCAAGGTGGGTGATTTTAATCTGCAGCCATCAGGCCTGGTTTAAATTGGTTTTTGTCAAACATTCTTCTCAGTGGTATAGCACTGGTCTGTGTATTGCTGTACAGAGGTAACTAGTGGTTGCTGTGATGCTAACCACTGTGAAGCTGATGTGCCAAATGTGATAATGGTTACCCATGGTAGACAGTGTTTGGTGGAGCTTCCCAATTAAAACAAGCTTGGAAGCAGGAGTGGCATCCACTTCTGAAATGGCTTGCCTCCAAAAACTCTACGAACATGGAGAAATGGCCAAAGTTATATAAGTGTTCAGTTCTTTCATTCATAGGGTCACACTTAACAACTACAACAACAGAATAACTATAAATACTCCTCCTGACAGGATTTTTGAGTGAAGTAAATCTATCACTGTGTATAAAATGTGTGGAACAATTAGCAGAAAGCTCATCAATAGTCATTGCCTAAGTCCTTGCCTCAGTGCCAGCCACATGGTTAAAAAAGAGAATAAAACAAGCAACTCCCACCCCCCTAAACTCATTGTCATTGACTCAGAATCAACCTGGCAGTGGGTTTCCAGAGGCTATAATTCACATGGGAGGAGATTGCCCATCTTTCTCTCACAGAGCTGCTGGTGGATTTGAACCTCTTGCCTGTGGGTTGACAGTGTAACTCCTTACCCACTAGTTAACCAGAACCCTTAGAGCATCATAGTCACAGGGCAGAAGCTCAATAATTAGCAATGAGGCCGTCTGTGCATTCACAGACCTGTGCTCTAACTTACCCAGAATCCTGTGTGTTGGCTTCAGGAGGGCAGGGCCCCTTCTCCAGTTTCCTCAACTAACCTCTGCCCCTGACCTTCCAGAATATAAAAGGGAGGCCCGAGGATGCCACAGTAGGGTTGGGGCTTGCTCCAAGGGAGTGTGGATGGCTCAGCGCAGGCCATCCCTTCCTCTGGAATAAACACAAGCCAACTATTTGTCAGAGGGCAGTACTGCCCTCTCAAAAGGAGGGTAGCATTTTATTTAATAGACTGTATGTGGTAGGAAAACAGATACTTCTTTTCAGGTGGTAGAGGCAGATGCACACTTGTCTTAGGGGGCAGCTCTTGTGACTGACAGATAAAGCCAGGGAGACACTTCAGCTCTCTGCTTCTGAGCCGGAAGCTTTCTCTTCGGAATTTTGGCTTGAGTGTACCCGAAGAACTTGTGCTGTCCCGATGCTCTCTAGGGGGAAAGGAAAGGAGAAATCACAAGCAGGAGAGAGTCAGGAGAGGGGCCAGGCCCTACTTGGGAGCTGCCTGGGGCCAGCTGACCTCTCCTCCCTGCAAGCCCACCGCAGATGTCTGAGAACAGAGGGAGGAGGACTGGTTCTAATCAGCTTCTCTTTGGCTTCTGCTGGTAGGCCAGATCAAGCCACTCCCCTCCCCTGAGCCCCACTATCGCCTTCTCTCAATAGGGTCCCAAGTATCGATGAAGTGACTGCTTTCTGCCAGACAGATACCCAGATGAGCATACAGGTCCCTGGGCTACCTGCCTTACAGTCTAGTGCAAGTGGACCACATACAACTTGGCTAGCTGTCCACTACCTTCTGGTTAGTCCTGGGTGCCACAAACAATTAAGTGCTTGACTGCTAGGTGAAAGGTTAGCAGTTAAACCTACTCAAGAGATCTTGAAGCCAGGGCCGGTGACCTGCTACTGAAAGACCACAGCCTTGAAACCCTACAAAACACAGGTCAACTCTGTTCACAGAGTCATCCTGTCAGAATCTCCATACCACCACCACCACTGTTGTCATCTCCACCATCACCATCACCCCCACCCACCATTATCACCATCACCACCATCACCATCATCAACTCCACCATCGTCATAACAACCATCACCCTCATCACCACCACCACCACCATCACCATCATCACCACCATCAGTACCACCACACTCACCACACCACCACCATCACTAACATCACCACCAACACCAAAACTCTCCTTGGCTACAACACAGCCCTGTCCCTGATAATGTCCTCAGGCTCACTCCAATGTCCTGTTTGTCAGTCTCCATTGCACTCATAGTGCCATAGATAGCCTCTGCCATCAAGCTTAGCTTTTAACTCTTCACTTCCACAAGGCCCTGGCCCCTAGCCCCTGGCCTCTGGCCCCTGGCTCCTGGTTCTTCCACAAGCACCCAGTCTTGTGTGACTTTTCCTTAAAGGGCTTCTGCTTGAGTATGGTGGTCCAGGAGTCCATTCCCTACTCTACTGGCCCTCTTCCCATCTCTTACACCACCCTGCTCTATCTCCTAGTTCCTATTGCCCTCAGCTTATGTTCTCCTGTTTTGTCTGCATTTCTCCTCACTAGAATGCAAACTCCAGGCAGCAGAGACTTGTCTGAATGTGTCCCAGTGATTTTTTAGAGCCCAGTACATGGTAAGTATTAAACCATTATCTGTTGAGTGAATGAACAGTGTACAAATGATTGGATAAGCAAAGCCAGCAGCTTCCTTGTGCAGAGACCCATCTCTTGCTTTGACTGTGCTGAGGAATCTCACCATGAGGGGCCTCAGGGATCTCCAGGTGGATCACTGACAAAAGCGTACCTGGCTTTTCTCTTTCCGGAGTAGGTGGAGTCTTCATCTTCTTCAGGGATTGACTAGAATCAAATGCCAAAGAGAGGTTATGGAGGGGAGACTGGAACGAACTCAGTAAAGAGCAGGTGAGGAAGAGGATGCAGTCATTTGTCTGGGGAGAGGCCAGAGCAGCCCTCCTAGAGGGCCCTAAAGTACTGTCCATGCCTGTCATTAGATGGACTTTCCAACTCGTCCCAAGGAACATTCAGGCAGCTTTAACTTTGTTGCCTATCTCAGCCACATGGAACCAAGGACCTGAAGTCCCTGGAGCTGTAAGGGGAATCCCTATGCTCAGCCCTGCCTGTTATTGGTCTACTGCACATGAATTCATAGGAATCGGCATATGACAAGTTTGTATGGTGACTCAGAAACAACAGCTTTAGAATCAGGTTGTCCAAGTCCATGTCCCAGTTCTGTTGCTGACCTGCCACTTTGGGCAGGTCAGTTTCTCATTTGTAAAAACAGCTGCAATACTGTGTCATTTGATTGTTGTGTGGAAACTAGAAAGATGTGAAAAGCCAGGTCGTGTCAGGCAAGCCCAGCGAGCGCAAACAAGTGGCAAATTTGGTGCTGACACTGTGTCCACAGCTGGCTTCGTCAGGCAATCTCCCTTTCTGCAGTTTATAACTGCTTTCTCTTCTAGGCTTCCAACACCCACAGAAAGGAACATCTGTCTGCCCTGTGATAGCCTTAGTTCTCTCCATGTGTCTGCACACAGACCAAGGTTTCAGGAGGACTAGAGTCAAGAATGGTGAAACTTCGTTTCATGTATTTTGGGCATGTTATCAGGATGTGCCAGTCCTTTGAAAAAGAAATCATGCTGGGAAAGGTAGAGAGTCAGAGGGGAAAAAGGAAAACCCTCAATAAGATGAATTGACACAGTGACTGTAACAATGGACTCAAACATGTCAGAGATTGTGAGGATGGCACAGGACAGGGCAAGGCTCAGATCAGTTGTTCAAAGGCTCTTTATGAATTGTAGTTAATTTGACAGCACCAATAACAGACATGTCTAATCCGACCCCTGTGTTGCTACCAGAGCAGCGCTGAGTCTGACCCGGTCTAGGAAGACTTCCAGAAATATGATGAGTCTGGTGCCACCACTCTCCGGGCCTCAGTGGCCTCACCCGGAAGCAGCTCTTGGAAAAGAAGGGCAGATGAAAGAATATGAAGCCTACCTGTAATACATCTGCTGCTTTTCCTGGGCTAGTTCCTGGACTTCTTGAAGCTGAAGCAAAAGCTTTTCTGCCGGGATGGAAATGAGGGGCTTGGGGAGAACCTGAGCCATGGCTGTCTGCAGGAGCGCCAGTGCCAGGTCCTTCTCTGTAAGCACAATCCCAGGCAAGAGTCCTCAGAGCAGGACCCCTGAGGAGCCCCCCTCCCCCCCACCCCCCGCCGGCACTCCTGGATGGGGCTGGGAGCCTCCAGGCTCTTCTGCTCCATTTGTTCGAGAGCAGCTTTCTCTAACCCTCTTATATTTGCCATAGATCCTTACTCGATTCTACTCCCTACCCCTAGGCAGACAGAATCCTATCCTCTACACCTCTCTTTCAGCAAAGAATTAAATGCATATGCCCTTCCCCTCCTGGGACGCCATCAACCCTCCTCATTTCTTCACTCCACAGGAAGCTTTCCCCGCTGAGTTGCCCTCACTTTCCCTACTTGCCCCTCTACCACCACCCCCTGCGTCCTGTACAAGTATTGGATCCACTGCATACACACATGTGTTCTTAAGGGGTGTGTGTGTGTGTGTATCCATGTGTCCTACAGTGATGTGAGAGTCAGAAATAATGGCTCTTAGATTCCTCCCTCTCAGCTGCCCAGTGGGCTCAGCATGAAGAGGGGGATCCCCTCAAAGGACAGGGGGTCACAGAAAGTCTGCTAAGGAACAGAGAAGAGACAGCAGGGCTGTGGTAGCTGGTGAGCATTAGTGTAGAGATCCAGAGAAAGAGAAGAGACCCAGACTTCCTCGGTGGGAGCTGAGTAACATGGGAGCCCCACTGGAACCAGAGAGAAGAATGGGTCCTCGGAGACCTCCGTGGCTGTGTCCTCACCCTTTTGGGGAGCGGAGAGTAGCCAGGACTGGATGGCACTCAGCGAGTCTGTCTGTAAGATCTGTGAGAGCAGTTCCAAAATCTGCGGGTGGAGGAGGGTGTGGTCAGTGGACTGATGAGGTGCAGCCAGGACTCAGGTAAACCTGGCTTCAGGGGATACAAGGGCTTCCCCCCATCAACGCCCCCCCCCCCAAGAGCCATATGTTCTATTCCTCCCTCCCTCTGCAGGGACTTAAGTACTTTTTCAGAGGGCTGTTTCTCCCAGCAGCCTTTAGAGCTAATTCTTGACCTCCCACCAGACAGATGAAGGGTAGAGGTCCCCAAAACGGAAGACCTGGTGCAGGGAGCCTGTGGCACAATCAGCATCAAAAGCAGATACATGGGCCCTTCATCCCTTCCCTGGGGTCCCTCAATGGGAAGGCAAAGTCAGAGCTGGACAGACAGCCCTTCGCCTCAGAGACGCACCGAATCCCAGATGCCCTGGTTCTTGATATTTGGATTTCAAGAGCCCCATGGTTTTCCCCACCACGAAGCTCCCCAAATCTGCAAGTGTTGGCAGAGAAGCGGGGCTGTCCTGAAGGTGAAGGTGGATCAGCTTTTCACACAGCTTGGCTGGGGGGGCCTTCCTGCCGGTGATTGGACGTTCTGGGCTCCAGGCCACCTTTTTAGCCTTTGGCATCTTTGCTACTTCTCGGCCCATTTCCCCCCAAGCTCGCCTGTCAGGGATCATGTAGAAAAGGCCCAGCTGTGTCTTGGGTGGGCTGCGGAGGCTCCCTAGGCCAGTCTGCTGCTGGTGGCAGTGACTATGGCTGGCCAAGCTGAGAAGCCTCGGTGGGAGGTGGAAACCCTGGAGTCCTAGGAGAATAGGGTCCTTTTAGTACTTGGCAGCTAGGCCTTATGACCCAGAGGAGCTTCTCTGTCCCCAGGAGGTCTGCCATGTGCCTCCTTGTGTTCCCCTCCCTCTCCCCCTCCAGATGTCCACCCTCTGCAGTAATCGATCCTGGGGTACCCCTGGGCCCTTCTCCACTCTCCAAATCCAACTTACCTGCCCTGTGCCCCCTCCCCACAGGACCCAGGAATCTAATTTCAGGCAAGGTGAGGCCGCCCTATGGTGGAGAAGGTAGTGTTCTAGTCTCAGCTACACTGTTTTATCTGGATGACCAGGGCCAAGAGCGTCACCTAGCAGGGCCTCGGCCTCCCCCTCAGTGGTGTGGAGATCCCAGACCCTGCCTGCTCTATCCACTCCACGGTGCAGTTTTCCGTCTCCAAACAGACCTCATGCCTGAAGGCACCAGACCCCAGGAAGGGGTTGCGATGCTGGTTCTATGTCTGAGCTTCCCTGGAGAATGAATGTGTGTGCGTTTTAACAGGGACCTTTGATCTCACCTTCAGGGCCACCCTGGCTTTAATGCCTTAACTTGTGGTAAGGGGCAATGGACTAATTTGAGCCTTTGATGAGGGACTTTGAACATGGAGGAGGCCTGATGAGGTCCCTCAGAGCGTGGGGGCACAAGACGAGCACTGGTCTTGCAGAGGCATGGGGTGCAGCATAGCATTGTGAGTGCACGTTGTGAGGCAGGGCACTAGTCCACCTTTTCGCTCCTTTCCCGAGATCGTCAAATATCAGAGCCGCAGCAGACTTTGGCCAATCAGGCATTCATGAAGGGGAGTTTGTATAGATTAGGAAGCCAAGGGCCAGAAAGAGGACAGGACTTACACAGAAAGGAGACTGCAAGCAAAGGATTGGAGCGTAGACCCCTGACTTCCAAGTCTGGGGGGTTTTGAGCCTTAAAAAAAACCTTAGGGGGAGTTCCCCTGGGAGAGGTCACACCTGCAAGCAGTTTGTAGGAGTCCTGGGTGTGAGAGTTGAGACCAGGAACCATCCTTGTGTCCGGAGGGCCCACAGTCTCCAGCCTTCCTCATGTCTCACCAGCAGTTCCTGGTTCTGCAGAGCGAGGCTCTGGGCTCCCCGGCCTGGGCCTGCAGGGTGGCTGTGCTGGCTTTGGTGGGAGCTACGGCGGGTCATAGCCCTTGTGGAAGCTGGGATGATCCTCCCAGTCTCAGCCGAGTACTTTGCACCCTGCTCTCGTTGTGGCTCCTCCTTTTCCTGGGAGGAAAGTGGACAGAGATTCAGGAACAGAATGAGGAGTTCAGGTCCCATGTCCTGGGGATCCTGCTGACTCTCCTTCCACAGTGTCGCCCACCTTCCGCCTTCCTGGACTCCGTAGCACAGCACTGCCAAGACCCTGGGGAGTATTTCCAGCTACACCATCTCATCTGACACTTCCTCCACATTCACCTCCACCTCCACTGCTTCAGCAGCCCTGCCCCTGCCCTAGTGGAGAATCCTTCTATTAGAACCAACCACCCACAGGTCAATTTCGACTCATGGTAACTCTAAGTGTGTGTGCCAAAGTGGAACTGTGCTCAATAGGGTGGTGGTTGTTGTTGTTGTTGTTGTGTACTGTAGAGTCAGAACTGACCCATAGCTGACTCTCCAGTGGGTTTTCAGAAATAATTAATCACATGGAAGGAGATTGCCCATCCTTCTCCCACAGAGCATCTGGTAGCCTTGAACCATGTGCCTCTGGGATTGAAGAGCAGTTTCTTGCCACTAGGCCACATTATTCTGGAAGTAGATCTCTGGAACTTTCTAGTAAGGCACTTCTCGGTGAACTGTTGTTATGTAATGTCAAGTTAGAACCAATTCATAACTGACCTTCCAGTGTGTTTTCAGAGGCTGTAAAATGCACAGAAGATTTCCCTGTTTCTCTCACAGAGAAGCTGGTTGAATCAAACTCACGCCTTTGGGTTGGTAACACAACTCCTTGTCTCTAAACCACTTCTTGTTAAGTGCTGTCAAGTCACTTGCAATTCATAGCAATCCTATGTACAATAGCTCTAAATTCTTCTACTAGCACCTCTAAACTCACAGGTGGCAGTCAAATGCATTAATTATTTGCATCTTCCGTTATATGAAACAGGAAGCTCTGGTGACCTAGCTGTAAAAAGCTGCACTACAATCCTGAAGACACACAGTTCAAAACCACCAGCCACTCCACAGGCAAAAGATGGGCAATCTCCTGTGCAATTGAACTGCCTCCAAAAACCGACCAGAGGATCAGCTATGGGTTGGCTCAGCCTCAAGGACACACAACAATACTATATAAAACAAACAAACAAAACCCCAAAGACCATTGCTATCAAATTGATCCTAACTCATACCGAATCTGTAGGATAGAGCAGAATTGCCCCATAAAGTTTTGGAGACTGTTTTGTGCTGCAATCCCAAAGGCACACAGTTCAAATCCACCAGCTGCCGCACCAGAGAAGGATGGGCAATATTCACCCGAGTGATTAACTGCCTCTGAAAAGCCACTGGAGAACCAGCTATGAGTCGATAGCACACAACAACAACAATCACTATAGAATGGAACCCTCCCAGATTCATTCTATGAAGCAAACATATCTTTGATACCAAAGCCAGGAAAAGACACCACCAAAATAGAAAACTATAGGCCAATATCT